CGCATTCCATTTTCCCTGTTCTAAACATCTTTGAATAATATTGACCAAAAAATATATTTGAAGAGGTTCTTTCTGATTTTTTTTTTTTTTTTTTTGTTTTTTGGTTTTTCTCCGGTACCGGGAACCGAACTCACGGCCTTGCGCATGCCAAGCAGGTGCTTTTGCCGCTGAGCTAAATCCCCAGCCCCTCTTTCTGATTTTTTGAGACACAATCTCACTGTGTGATGTAGGCTGGCCTTAAACTCACTATGTAGCCCAGGGTGACCTTGAATTTGTGGTGGTCCTCCTACCTCAGCCTCCCAGGTGCTGGGATTACAGGCCCGTGTCACCACACTCAGCTTGAAGAGCTAACCTCTAAAATAAGTAAGTAACTAAATAAAGAAACATTTATGGTGCTCAACACTAAACCCAGGCCTTCACACACGTTAGGCAAGTGCTGTGCTACTAAGCATACCCCCGGCCCTAAATTTGTTTTAAATGGTGAATTTCGTGCATTTAAAATAAAAACAATTCATATGTTTACTTAATTATTGTGTGTCTGATCATTGTAGGCGAAACCTCACCAAACTGTCCCTGATCTTCAGCCACATGCTGGCAGAACTGAAAGGCATCTTTCCAAGTGGGCTCTTCCAAGGAGACACATTTAGGATCACTAAAGCAGATGCTGCGGAATTCTGGAGAAAAGCTTTTGGAGAAAAGTGAGTCTCACAATGGTGAATGTGGACTATGAAAAACTGAAGCTTATCTTAAGAACTTTTTGTTTAGTGTTTTATTAATGAAATATTTAAAACAGAAAAGCTTTGAGAAAAATAAATGTATATTCATTTCCTAGCTTTGGTGAGGATCAACATTTTTCCTCAATCATTTTTTTTTAAAGAAATAAAAGTTGTATAGATTCAGTTGAAACCCATACTTTTGGCGGGGGGCCGGGGGGCTTGTTTTTGAAACAGGGTTTCACTATGCAGTTCACGTTGGCCTTGAACTCACAGTAGTCCTCCTGCGTCAGCCTCCTGAGTACTGGGATTACAGGGCATGCACCACCATGCCCAGCCAAAACTCATGCGTTTTGATTGAATACTCTTCCCTTCTTCATCCATTCTGCTGTTACTGGACATTTGGATTTGACATTATTTGCTGTTGAAATTTGCAGCAGTGCTGCAATGCACAGTATCTTGCTTGTCTTCATAAGCAAGAATATCTCCTTAGTTACACACCGAGGATTGGTATCACTGAGAATTGCCTAACTGCTTTCCAAAGTGGTTGTCGTGGTTTATAGTCTATAAGTAGTATATAAGAGTTCCAGGGCTGGGGGTGAAGGTCTGTGATAGAGGGATTATCCAGTACACACAAGGGCCTGGACTCACTCCCCATCAGCTACCCAAAATCAAACTCAGAATGATTTTATATATAAATTATACACTGATTCATAATTTTAAAAGCCTCGTTGAGGGGTTAATGGTGTAACTCGGCAGAACATATCCTTAGCGTGTGTATTCAACCCCTGCACCCACTCGGTTTGAAGAGGAATGGAATAAATTTAACCCTGTTCCTTTAACTCTATAGCTACATTGGAAAAGACTACAAGACATCAGTTGATCTTTTATTTTTAGGCAGGTGAATACATAAACTTTGCTAAAGGAGTGAGAGTGTATTTATTTTAAAGATATTGAGAAATATGAATATTATAATATCTCTTCCTGGCTCTGTCTGGGATTTAGTCAGCCTTAAGCTAAATAATTTCTTCTTTTTCTTTTTCAGAACTCTATTCATCTGGTATTTTGGGACCTATTTTCCCCAGTCTTCTTTGATAGTATAGGTTCCTCAAAGAACACAGAATGTTTTATATGTTTTCAAAATTTAGTTTGACAGGTTTTTAGATAGTAAAGGTCTGGCTATACATTACATTTATTATATTAAAAGGATAGTCTCATGTCTCTTTCTATGCTTCTCTAATAGAACAAATCTCCATGGAAAGAAAAGGTGATTGATTTGTACCATTCTGTCAAAAAACAGTGGGATAAGACTTGTTACTTGTTAGAAAGTTTAAAAATATATCCCTGGTTCCCTTCTGTCTATTCTCTCTCTTTTTTTTTTTTTTTTTTTGAGACAAGGTCTCACTATGCAGTTCATGCTCTCCTTGAGCTCACTTTGTAGCCCAGGCTGGTCTCAAACTCGCAACAGTCTTCCTGCCTCAGCCTCCTGAGTGCTGGGAATACAGGCCTGCGACACCATACCTGGCTTTCTTCTGTCTATTCTTAATCTAAATATAACTCAGTTTCTCTCTTCTTCAGATACAATCTTGCTGTATAGTTCAGGCTGGCCTTGTATTTGCAGCAATCCTCCTGCCTCAGCCTCTTGATTGCTGGGACTAACAATTGCTCACCACCACACCTGGCCTCTCTCTTATTTTTTGAGACAGATCATGCTAAGTTCTTAAATTGACCACTTTAGGTTTAAACCTCTAGTCTCAGTCTCCTAGTGCTGGGACTACAGGTGTGGATCACCACACCCAGTTGGCTCGCTTTCTTTTTCTTAATTGTAGCAAAGCCTGGAATTCTCTCTGTTATCTCAGTTTGTGCCTTCTGTCTCACCCCATCCCAGAACAATAGTCCCTTGGAAGAGCTTTCGACAGGCCCTACATGAAGTACATCCTATCAGTTCTGGGCTGGAGGCCATGGCTCTGAAATCTACCATTGATCTGACCTGTAATGATTATATTTCCGTTTTTGAATTTGACATCTTTACACGGCTTTTTCAGGTAAGATACTAAAAATGTTGGCCAACCTGGCTACTGTTACTTTTCTGAAGAACAGCCTTTTCTAACAACATTGGGGGTTTTTCTAGTATAATTAATTTTAGAAAATATTAGCAGAGAGGCTGGGGATTTAGCTCAGCTGCAAAGCGCCTGCCTGGCAAGCGCAAGGTTGTGAGTTCAGTTCCTGGTACCGGAGAAAAACCAAAAAACCAAAAAAAAAAAAAAAAAAAAAATATTAGCAGAAAGAAAACCTTAAAGCCAGTCTGTATTAACATGCCTGAAATAACTATATAGTCTTCTTTCTTATTGTTTATTATTATTTACATCTTTTTAATGGCTATAGAAGTACCAGAAAGTGGACTGTATGTTAAAATGTGAGTGGGGACAGTATTTGGGATTGAATTTAGGGTCTTGTACCTGCTAGGCAAGCACCTGCTACTGAGCTACATTCCCAGCTACCTCACCCCCAACCCTGCACCTTTTTCAAGTTTTATTTTAAGATAGTTTCCCTAAGTTGCCCAGTCTGGCCTTGAACTTGCAGTTCTCCTGCCTGAAGTTCCTGAACAGCTGGTGGTGCATGCCATCTGACCCAGCTGATTATCAGTATGTTTTACCAGTTTTCTGTTACTAGACTTAAGTGTACATTTTCAATTTTTTCTTCTTACTGTGAAATTCTTGACTGTTAATGTTGAGACCTATTGATGCTTCAAAAAGAGTTTATTTCTTTCTCCCAAAGTGTTCTCCAGTGGATATAGATAAGTGTTCTCCAGTTATATAGACATTTATTTGGAATTCATTAATTGCATACATAGGCTCCATTCTGTTTTCTGACTTTTGTCTGTTATTGTTTTAACCTCAATACTGGTTACAACTGTTTTCTTGAGTTTCATTTTGTATAGTTAAGTTTCTTCCTTTTGCATATATTCTTCTTAGTGTTTCATCTTCCAAACATACTTACATTCTCCTAGAGTAACACTGTAACTGAGAGTATGTGATAGTTGAGAAATTATCATTGAGAATGGAAGATTTTTCCCTTCTTTCACTGCTCTGAGGCTGGTTGTATGTTTCGAGCTGGATCGCCTGTGATTTCATCTGTGCCTGATCTCTTGTTTCTTTAGCCCTGGTCCTCTTTGCTCAGGAATTGGAACAGCCTTGCTGTAACGCATCCTGGTTACATGGCTTTTCTGACATATGATGAAGTGAAAGCTCGGCTCCAGAAATTCATTCACAAACCTGGCAGGTCAGTGCCATAAAGCAGATAGGTTTATTCTCCAGAGTTTTATTCTCTTGTGACTTCTGCTGGCGTAGAAGATAAATAACTTTGTATTAGTTCCTCAGTGACCAAGATTTCTTCAATAGGACTGATGTCCGTTTATCAGAGGAATTGACATATTCAAACCCTGTGATTTGATAAAAGCCCCTTAAGAATGGAGTTTACATGTTCTTTACTTCTGGTCTGGAGTCATTCAAAGAAGTTAATCTTCTTTTTCCATGTTCCTTTATTAGAGCTGGGAATTGAACTCAAAGCCTTAGGTATGCCAAGCAAGAACTATCCCACTGAGCTACCCTCTAGGCCCCAAAGAAGTTATCCTTAATGGTCTCTCTGATTTTTGTCTCTGTCTTGCCTTCTACCCTAATAGCAGTATATATATTAAAACCTTTGTTCATCTTTGTTCCCAGTTACATCTTCAGGCTGAGCTGTACCCGTCTGGGGCAGTGGGCTATTGGGTATGTTACTGCTGATGGGAACATTCTGCAGACAATCCCTCACAATAAACCTCTCTTCCAAGCACTGATTGATGGCTTCAGGGAAGGCTTGTGAGTACCCACTGTTATCTTCTACTACAGACTAGGAACCTAAGGTCTGTAATACTTCATCATTAATAAATTTATTCCAGGTTTCTGCTACAGATTAAGATTTAGAAAACATATTAACAGGCTTTATTTGACCTTCAGATTCTGTAGGACTTATGTATGTATGTTTTTTGGTGTGTGTATGTATATATGTATGTATGTATTTTTGAGACAGGGTCTTGCTCTTTAGTTCAGACTGGCCTTAAACTCACTGTGTAGCCCAGGCTGGCCTCAAACTCTCGGTGATCCTCCTACCTCAGGCTACAGAGTGCTGGAATTACAGATGTGTGCCAGCACACCTGGCTATTTATATGAATTCTGTAAATTAACTTTTTTTCTGTGTTGCTTCTGTTATTACCATGAATAAATCTTTATTTTTGTTTTCCAAGTCTGTAATAGAAGTATAATTATACAATTAGCAGGAAACTTTGCCAACTGTTTCATTAGAGTGATTAGATGCTCCTAATGACAGTGGCATCGGTGACATCATTTCCTTTATTCCAACTTCATTTTGTCAGCAGCTTTTCTTCAGGTGTTTGGCTTTTGCAGTGTATGCTAATATTTATGACTGAGTTCTTGCAACAGAATTGCTATTCCTTAGGAAACTCAGATTATCATTAGTACTAAAGATACCATTGACCAAGTATCAGAAAACTAGCATGTTTTATCTATCTGTCTGTCTATCTATCTATCTATCTATCTATCTATCTATCTATCTCTATCTATCTATCTATCTATCTATCTATCTTTTTGAGACAGGGTCTCACTATGCAATTCAGGCTGGCTTTGAGCTCACTTTCTAGCCCAGGCTTGTCTTGAACTTGCAAGGATCCTCCTCCTCAGCCTCCCAAGTGCTGGGATTACAGGCATGTGCCATCACACCTGGCTTAGCGTGTTTTAAAGTGATTAGGAAAATCCATTTTCTTTTATGCACCATCTCCTACAGTAGGCTTAGAAGAGCCAGGCATGGTGGCTCATGCTTGTAATCCCAGAACTTTATAGCCTGAGGCAGGAAGATCACCGAGAGTTTGAGGCCATCCTGGGCTACAAAGTGAGCTCAAGGCCAGCCTGAACTGCATAGTGAGACCCTGTCGCAAAGAGACAAAGAAAAGATTAGAAGAAATGCTGCCCCAGGTGTCTGAGGAGTTTGGTGTTAGAAACGCCCTGGTAGGTGATCTCAGTGGTTTAATTTGCTTCTTGCTAATTACTACTAAGTGGGTCCCTCTTAGGTTGTTATACTTGGAAGTAAAGGTATTTTAGGTCTTTGATCAAAAGCAAATGCAGCTTAAATTAAGAATTTATGTCTGTGGTCATCTGTTGATTAAAATAGCATTTGGCAAACTAGGCCCACAGCCCAGCTGTTTTGGTACAGCCTATAAGCCAAGATAGTTATTTCTTTTTAAAGTACTGTATAAAAGAAGAAAAAGACATAGATTTACGTGGCCTACAAAGCCTAATTTATTTAATATGGTCCATTGTAGAAAAGGCTTGCCAGCCCTCAGTTAAAAAATAGAGCCTATGGCTTTGCACCCTGAAAAATATCTTCTTGGAAGTGTTGTGTGTTACTCATCTTTCTGAAGTTTTTTAAGACTTGGTTTTATACAACATTTTACACAACCTTGTCCTTTTAGAATGGGGGAGTTGCTAGACATCATCTGTCTGTATTAATAAGCACTGATAAATTGGCTTTAAGGCCTCAAGGTTGGTTACTCTTTTTTAGTTATTTATTTCCTGATGGACGAAATCAGAATCCTGACCTTACAGGCCTATGTGAACCAACTCCCCAAGACCACATCAAAGTGACCCAGGTAAGGTTTATTTTACATTATAACCATATCAGTGGTGCCAAGATTTTGGATATACTTTATAGAACTGACAGTATAATTTAACTAAGTGATTGGAACACTTAATTTTAAACCACTGACTACATGAGTGAATTTGAGTATGTATGGTTTCTCTTTAAACCATACAGTTTAAAAGAGGAGCAAGACTAAATGTTTTCTGGTTTAATGAGAGAACACTGACCACTCTTGTTGCATTTTTATTCAAGCAAAACTTGTATAGAAAGTAACAGTCTTCAATTTTTTTGTAGCACTTACACTTATATTCATTCATTCAATAAACTTTAATTTTTTTGTTCAAAGGAACAATATGAACTGTATTGTGAGATGGGCTCCACGTTCCAACTGTGTAAAATATGTGCTGAAAATGATAAGGATGTAAAGATTGAGCCCTGTGGACATCTCATGTGCACGTCTTGTCTGACATCCTGGCAGGTACGGATCCACGCCATGCATTTTCTCGGCTGTGTAATCTCTGAAGAGTGATTATGTATCCTTTACAGGTATAAAAGGTGGCTGGTTTGTGAGGAAGTTTAAAATTTTTAATTTTCTCTCTCACTCTTTTTTTTTTTAATCCAGTGCCTCCCACGTTCTAAGCATGTGCTGAGCTCTAAGCTTTTAATTTCATTTTTTATCTGTAGTAAATGTACTTAGTAGATGAGTGTTTTAAGTACTTTCAGATGTATGTGTTACCAGTTTCTCCTTCCTCTGCAGGAATCAGAAGGTCAGGGCTGTCCTTTCTGCCGATGTGAAATCAAAGGTACAGAACCCATCGTGGTGGATCCCTTTGACCCTCGAGGAAGTGGCAGCCTACTGAGGCAAGGAGCAGAAGGAGCTCCCTCCCCAAATTATGATGATGATGATGATGAAAGAGCTGATGATTCTCTCTTCATGATGAAGGAATTGGCTGGTGCCAAGGTAAGATCACCATGCAGAATGGCAAAATCTGTGATGAGTAGTGTTCTAAAGCCATACAGCACTTAATGGCATCCAGACTACAAAAGGCAATAATCAGGGGCCGGGGATATAGCTCAGTGGCATAAGTGCTTGCCTGGCAAGCCTGAGGTCATGAGTTCGATTACTGGTACAAAAAAAAAAAAAAGGCAATAATCATTTATTAAGCATTTCCTATAAGACAGATACCGTACTAAACTCATTACTTAAAGCTCATAATCTTTACAATCCTCTGAGTAGGTATTATTATTACTATTATTAATAGCAATAATATTGGTACTGAGAGTGAGCCAAGGGGCACTCTATGACTGAGCTACATCCCCAAACACCCCTTTTTAAAAAAAATTTTGAGGCATGGTGACTTTCCCCAGGCTGGTCTCAACTTGTGATCCTCCTGCCTCAGCCTCCAGAATAGCTAGGATTACAGGTGCATACCACTGCATCTGTCCTATACTTCCTTAACAGATGAAGAAACCAAGCCACAGACTGGCATGGTGGCACACCCCTGTAATCCTCACTACTCTGGAGGCTGAGGCCGGAAGAGGGCAAGTTCAAGACGAACCTACATAACTTGTTGAGACCCTATCTCAAAATAACAATAAATATAAAAAAGGGTTGGATGTAGCTCAGTGAGAAGGCCCTGGGTTCAGTCCTAGTGCCTCCCCTTAAGACTATGCTGTAAAGATGACCTCAGTTCTGTTTTTAAAAATTGCTTATAATTTTTATTTTTTAAAGCCAGGTACAGTGCTGCATACCTATAATCCTAGCTACTTGGGGGGTGAGTCAGAAGGATCACAAGTTCAAGGCTAGCCTGAGCAATTTAGCTAGTTCCTGTCTTAAAAATGAAAGAGCTGGGACAATAGCTAACCCACTGGTGGAGCACCCCTGGGTTTGATTGCCATGGATGACTAAACACTAAATTATTGTTTTTGAAGACAACTTGAGGACTTCAGTTTTGTGGAGTATTAGAGTTTTTTACAATTGAAATGTTACTTTTGCAAGGTGGTTGTTTATTGCCTGGCTCAGTGTATAGTGTAGGGTAGGACCATAAGTCTCGGTCAGGGTTCTCATGGGTCTGGTAATTCTATTTGGAAAGAGCATATAGGTGCAGGAGAGACACTTCAACTCAAAGGAGACAGTGAGCATTGTTCACAATTGTTAGATTATGAGCTGGGTATGGTCACGCACACCTGCAATTCCAGCACTCCTATAATCCTAGCACTCAGAGGCAGAAGCAGGAGGATCACTCTTAGTTCAAGGCTGCTAGCCTGGACTATGTAGTAAGTTCAGCCAACCTGAACTACACAGTGAAATTCTGTCTCCAAAAAAGGGAAAAAAATTGTTGATTTATATACTGTTTTAGTAGTATAGGCATTTTTTGTTTTAAGTACATAATGTATTGGGGGGGGCTGGGGATTTAGCTCAGTGGCACAGCGCCTGCCTGGCAAGCGCGAGGTCATGAGTTCGATTCTCGGTACTGGAAAAAAAACAAACTACATACATAATTTATGTTTAAAATTAATTTTATTGGTACAATTTAGATGCGTACAATGATCATATTTATCATAGGGAATTTGAACATATCTTGCTGCTTGTTTTTTTCCCCCGTTCCCCTCTCCTCCCTGTAACCCATCTTCCCCTCCTTACTTACAAAAGCTTTATTTCCATTTTTTCCTTTTATTTTTTTTCTCTTCCTTCCCCCTCCCTCCCTGCTTTCCCCCTCATTCCCCTTCCAGTATAGGTATTTAGAAGAAAATGAACACTGTTCCCCTAGCTGTATAGAAACTCAGAAAGAGAAAATGCAACTTCCTGTATGTAATGATACTTGATTATTCTGTAATTTATTTAGACTCTCCTTAAGGGACATATTATTTCCAGGTTCTGGCATATTGGCATAGTTTGTAAGTTTGTCTGTAGGATAAACTTGTAGCAGTAGAGCTGCAGGATAAGAGTATGTGTGTTTAGAGCTGGCGCTGTCATTGAGCGCTAGAGCATTTGCCTACTATAATTGAGACCTTGGGTTTAATTCCCAGTGCTGTGCCAGAAAAAAAGGTGTGTTTAAACCGTGGTAGAGAAAAGAGAGATACTTAGGGAACAGACCTATGGCAACTTGACAGAGACAGTGAGGAATTTCATTTCTTAGCTGGATAGTAGGTATATGGGTATGTATTACTATTCTTTGTATATATACTTTGTATGAATTAAATGTTTGAGTAAAAATAGTTAACTTTTTTTGGATAGGTATTAAAATTTGTCCTGATTTTTTTGTCATAAAATCACTCTTGAAGGCATATGAAAATGAGAGTGTCTTGTTTCTTCATATCTTGGTAACTGTTGTTGTTTATCTTATTTCGATTTTTTTTTTTATACAGTTAAAAATCAACTGATCTACTTTTAAAAAAAATTCCATGTGATAAATGCACATGAATTCTTTTTTTGTAATGTGTAAAAGAACTGCTAGAAGGCTTGTAGAAACACTGGCTCCCTGCCTTCACCCATGCTTGTCCCTTCTGTATACCTCCACCAAGATTTTTCAGTTCCTACTTCTACATTTCTAAATCATGCACTTCTACTCTTTCTTGGTTAATTATCTGGTCACCTCATGCAGGGTAGAGGAACAGATTTATATGTCTTACTATCTTTTTTCTTTCTACTTTATAGCTTTCTACTGTGAACTTTTTTGCCTAAATCAATACTGAGTGTTTGAAGTGATTTTGCTCCCTGCTGTGCCAAGTAATATGCAATAGTGTAATTACTTTGCTGACTTGGATAACCTTTTGCTTTTCCTGAAACAATTTTTAATTTCCCTAGTTTTCAGTCTGTACATGTCACTGGCATTAGTGCCATTTCGCAGTAGACTCATGTATGCAGTAAGCTCTGTTAACCCACTGTATTAGTATAATAGGGAGCGTGTAGTACAGTACAGGTTCGGATCCATGGGGGTGGCAGTGTTTCCCTCCAGTCTGGACTGGTTTGTCTCTGCATATGCTGTGCTCTTGTCACCTGAGGTGCCCCTCATCTCTGCATACATCATTGCCTGTCCTTTGTTGAGGTGCCTGTTTTTTGGCTCTGATGTTGTCCTCTTTCTCACATTGCATGTTTGAATAGAGTATGTCCTCAAAGCAGCTTTCTGTGAAAAGGTGACAGGTAAGTAAACCTTTTAGGGGTCTTTGATACCTTAAAATGCCTTTATTTAAGCCTGAAAGGTTTCTAGGTTGCAAAATACTCAGCTGAGCTCTGAATAGTTATGGTTGCTGTGACTTCTAGCTTCTGGCACATTTTTGCTTGTGGATCGTCCCTTTCTCATTTTTCCTTCATTGGGCTAAGTGTGCAATGAACCCTTTCTCTGTACATAGGTGATTCATGTCCCTCAGGTCTTGGAAGTGTTCCTATATAATTTATTTTATTTTTTTTCCCTCCATTTGTCTTCTCATTTTCTGGAACATTGCTGTGTGTTGGGATGGAAGAACATTGCAGAGATCAGTTATGTTGAGCTGTGAATTGAAGAGCGTAATTAGTTCAACCCTCTGCACTTAGGGAATGAGAGGAAGGGAGGGAGGTGGATGATGGGCAGAGAGGGCTCCCTGGATCCGGAAACAACTCGAGGTTGGAAGCCCTACAGAGACAGCCTGACTAGAGCAGCAGTGATATATCTTAAGGAGTCAGGGAGACCAGGTTCCGGAGACCTCGGAGAGCCAGGCAGGACATGGAAAATAAGAAATACTGATTGCTTTTAAGTTATTACTGAGTGTTTTAAGGGTGACTAAGATGATAGTTATAAGGAAAAGGATTTGGTGAGATAGGAAACTGTAAATGTAGGGGGTTGTTAGAAGCTTGTGTTGGTAAATTAGGGCTGAGCTAGTAAGTACAATGAAAAGGAAGACATGGAAATGAGGTTTCTTTCAGGGGAAAAACCTGCAAGATGCAGTTACTGACTAGATACTGGTGGGGTAAGTTAACCTGATGAATAACTTTTAGCTTTTTTAATACTTGGTGTTTAGCTGAGTTTTCTGCTGAGGTGGAGCCCATTTTTGTAAGCAGGAGTGAAAGGACATAGCTAATAATAAGGGCTTGCTTTTTTCCCTTATTTAGCACCCAGCACCAGTGATAGAGTAGGTATGGGGAGGGTTGTTTTTCTGTTCCTTTCACAAATGCTTATAGTACAGTTTCCCTGTATTTGGTCATGTGCCTTCCTGTTGGCAATATAAATGCAAAGCAGTATTTTGTATGAATTACCATCGCCTGACAGTTTATTGCAGCAAGCTTATTTCAGCTCTTCCTCACTTTGTGATAGACAGGGAAATGGAAGATGTTATACATGTATTGTTTCTTCTAATTGGGTGCCTCAGTTTTATAATGCAAATTGTCAGAAAATATAAATCCTTTGAAATAACTCATTTCTTAAGAAGGACTCAAGATGCTTTTTAGTGGTATTGTTGATCATTTTTCTCCTATAGATCTCTTTATCCCAATAAATAACCCAAGATAATTTTTTTTGAGAATTTATTATTATTGATTTATTTCCTTATTTTTCCTAAACATTCTCCAAGTTAACTTGTTGAGAGATTAATGTCTGCTCCTTTTTATATGGGTTTCTATTTTTAATTTTGAAAAGATTTTTTTCTTTCCAAAGATGAAGTGGGAGAAAATTGTAATAGGTTGTTTTCTTTTTCTTTCTTTCTTTCTTTCTTTCTTTCTTTCTTTCTTTCTTTCTTTCTTTCTTTCTTTCTTTCTTTCTTTCTTTCTTTCTTTCTTT